GAATATAATCAGGTGGTGTCCAATATTTTGTAATGGATCAATATCCCAGTCAATGTTTTAGGCACGAAACATACAGCGTACGCAAGCACGATAGCAATGGACATCTTCAATCCTTGTCGCCCTTTCTTCCCTCGTTTTTTTCCTTAAGCTGTCTGATTGCTTGCCTCGTATCTTGTGACACCTGAGATTCGAAACGATGATTGTGTAAATAATGGTCATGAAAACCAAAGGGAAATACAACAGTATGATACAAACTGACAAATAGTAATATTTAAAGGACGAGAACTGTCCAAAGGCTTCGTTCTACCTTTGCAAACAATCAAGCTTACTCATCTGCTTGGACTTGATGACTCTTTGGTAAAAGAGAACTCGTGAGCGAGCAGCCAATGTAGCGATCCAAGTGGCACAAAGCCGGCAACAGCAGATCGGACATGGCCGTGTTTGCGATGAAGAAGTTGATGGGGCTTCTCATGGTTTTTTGTCTCGTAGACAATTATTCCGATGAAGATATTTCCAATCAGTGAAACAACTAAAATAAGGCAATAGGCAACGGTTTTTCCGACTCTTTCTATTGTTGGGTTGCTACAATTTGGTGGATGAGTTCCATTCATCGTTGTGTTCAGGCCTGTCATAGTTGTCATGATTCTCAGCGTTTTGTTCAGTGAAATCCACGTGTTGCCTGAAGTACAGATGTAACTGTGTGGTCGGCTTTCGCAATTAGAACAGAAAAATTAAAAAGCCTCCCCGATTTACCGTTATTTAATTTTTTTTGTCTTGTTGGTATTTCTTTTTAAAGAATATAATTCTATCGCCAAGGAAAGAAATTTGCGTAAGGAGGCTTGACGAGGTATTCTATTGTTTACAGTGGGCGTAAAGCAGTCAAAAAAGTAGAGAAGTGTATGTCCAGTCAGAGACTTAGACCGATCGCTCAGGGAGGTCAACCAATGTGATGTAAAAACTGTTAAGTTAACCACTGATTTTTCCGAAAGAGAAAACCAAATCTGGCAGAACTACTTAATTTAGTATGTGTATGGGGGATAAAGGGAAACATATAGCTTGTTGATTGATTTTGCGTAGGAAGAATGGAAAATCTATCTTTCACCGTCTCGTATCGAGTCCAAAATTAACTTTTTCAATCCAAAACCGAAAGTTATCACATGTAAGTGTATTGAAAAATGACAAGAAGCGTTAATAAGACAAACCACCGATAAAAACTCGCAGCAATTGAGGTACAAAGGAGTCCAGTGGGAAGAATACAAACACAAAAAAGTTTGTTGCTCGCTTGTATCCTTGTCAAGTTAATTGAAGAAACTGTTGGCTTCCCAAAAGGTCAATAAAACCTGGTGTAGAAACACTTGTTCAAAAACGCGGAAATTTTCTAATGCCTGTTGGAGGATTTTTTCCAAATTGCATGCACTTATATGATTGGCTGTCGCTTTTACATTACGCAAAATGTTGCTAACCTAAGTTCATTGTTGAATAACAATTTGTGCTTCGATCTACGCTCTTATGATTTGATATGCTGTTGCAATCAAGTAACAGAAAACGAACTGAACTGAATCAATTTCAGTAAACGTCCTACTTTACAGCGATACAAGAGCTCTTCAACATTTTACTCAAACACTACAATAGCACAGTAATGCAATGTTTATCTCGTTCAACTGTAACAGAGTACTGAAGCGTTAATTAATTACTCCTGTTGCCCAGAAGAAGAGCATTTAAAGATATTTTTAAGACCTTGACGATAATTTCCGGCATAAATAAAACAGATGCAAGGGTTTATAGCACAGTTTGAATGCCACACGAAAAATACAATGGCGTTGAAATACTGGAGGCCACAAGACGCTAAAGTGGAGCGGTTCAATGAATATAGAACTAAGACCCAGTAGAAACTGAATGGCAGCCAGCATATTGCAAATGTTAGAACGATTGCAATGGACATCTTCAGTACATTTTTCTCCCTTCTCGCTCGTATTTCTCCCGCGTTGACCGATTGCTCATCGCGAATCTTGTGAGAGTCGGATCTGAGTTTCAAGAGAATTGCAAGGTAAAGTATGGCAATCACAATAATTGGAACGTAGCTAAAGACAACGAACATTGCTAGAATGTATTTTTTAAACGATAAAGATTCTCCAAAGGTTTCTTCCCACTGCCGCGAGCACTTCAGCCCCTCTGGAGACTCGACTAGTTTATAGGAGGACATATTTGGCCACATGACAACCGTGGCGATGATCCAAGTTGTGAAAATGAGGAATCCGCACAGCTTAGAACTGACGAGTAGAGAACGGAAGGGGAAAAACACTGCTCCAAATCGATCCACTGCTATCAAAACTAGGGTCTGAATCGACACGAGAGCCGAAACAATTCCAACAAATGGAACTATCTTACACAAGGCCACGCCAAGAGGACCTCTGATCATCCAAGTGTCGACGTACAGCTCTGTCACAGTCCTAGGAAACTGGAACAACGGGACTAGCAGATCGGACATGGCCATGTTTACGATGAGGAAGTTGATGGGCCTTCGCATGGTCGGCGTTCTGAAGACAATCACACCGATTAGGATATTTCCAATCAGAGAAACAATAAATATGAGGAAATAAGAAGAAGTTTTTCCAATTTTTTCTGCTGTGGGATTGATGCAGCTTTGTGGCTGTGTGCTATTCATCGTTGTACTCAAGTTT